GAAAGTTCAGGAAAGAAAGAAAGAGCTAGAATGCCTGATTACATCATTCTAGTGCAGCACCAGCTGGGATTTTCTTTCCCTGGACTCATGTGATACAGATCAGTCCCTGCTTAAGTCAATGTGACTGTATTTTCTTTATTTGCAGCTAAAAAGCATTCCTTACAAATACACCTGAAAGAGGTGGAGTTAGTCCAACTGGCACACATATCCCAGGATCTGGGTCCACCCCAACACTACTGCCTCTACTTCTCTTACCCCTACAACTCCTTTGGAAATTCTGGGCTCACCACATTGCTGCACATGTGCCATAGAAAGGCAGTGCTCTGTGCCACTCACAGAATGACTGAGAAATAAATGGTACTTGGAGCCCACTGTCTAGCTCTACTTGGCCTGCTATTCCTTTTATTAGTCCAGACACCATGCCCTGCTGCTCCCTCAGGAACCATGTGTGAGGTTGCAGAAACTCTGGTGTGAAGGGCTCAGGACACATACAGGAACTGAATCAAGGGTTTCTTGGGGTTTGGGGGTCTAGGGGTCTACCCCACTGTAAGGTGGTAAGCCTGTTTCCTTTTAACCACTGGGGAAGGGTTCCCTGGCATGGGTCCCTTCTGCTCATGCTGTAGCGTGTGACCTAGCGAAGTGACACACCTCACTACCTCTAATGATGTAGCCCAGCTCTCAACCTTCCTCTGAAAAGTTCCCTTTGCCTCACCCATCAGGGCATGGCCTCAGGTACATGGTGCCTGGCCAATGGACAAGCATCCTGTCCTCTTGTTAATTACCTTCGGGAGCCTCGCTATTCTCTTGTTTGCCCTGACTGATTGCTATAATAGGGAGAATCCTGGGGTAGTCGCCAGCCCTTTACAGTCTGAAGCTGGCCCTCACTCGATGTGTCCTGCCAGGGTGTATTTGATTTTTGCTAAGAGCTCCTCAGATTCCATCGATGTCCCTTTCTACTCCCTTGGGGTGAGGCTTGGGGGAGGGTATGTCTGGGAATAGCATGAAGGAAACCTCTAGGGTGTAGGGAATGTTCTACATCTCCATCTAGGTGATGGCTATATGGGTGTATATATGTAAAAATTCATTGTACTTAAAATCTGTATGCTTTACTGTATGTTATGCCTCACTCAAAACGTGTATATATTTTTAAAATGTAAAACACAACTGAATACAAAGAAGGCCCACCCAGTCTGTGGCAGTCTTAGGAAACACCTCAAGTTGGCCTTTGCTGTAGGAAACCCAGAGCGGCGTTGAAAGGCTCGTGCTCCAGCCCCACGTGCCCGGAGCCAGGCCAGGGGCCGAGTGCTGTGGAGGGACGAGGGTCCACCATGAGCAGCAGGTCAGCTCCAGGAGGAGGGCTGGGGGCACTGCCTGCATGAAAAGCATCCCCAAAACTGACGAGGCCAATGAAGATGCCCCGTAGGAATAACTGCCCAGATACAGCTTAAACTGTGGGGACGGTCTCTCTACCCGAGGCAGCAGCAGGAAGAGAAGCAGCACATTCCTGGCAGGATAATGGGCCCCACTCCTGACCCCTGGGGAAGCTGAGAGCATGGAGTGGGCAGGGAGCCAGAGAATGAGCACTGAGCAGCCAGTAGCCTCGGCTGGTGAGCCAGCCCACGCAGACCTGGGGCTCGGGGCCAGCCGGCTCTCCCCCGAGGCTGCGGAGAGGCAGGCGCAATGAGGGCAGTTAGGGTTGCCTCCATCTAGGGTGGAAGGGGTGGGGCTAGTGTAGGGAGCAAGACTCCCCCTACAAGGAACCATGTCATTGGAGCATCGTTCTCTGAACTGGGAGGCAGGGAATTTGACCTCTGTCTTGGGCCTCCTTTCTGAGAAGGGCCTCCTGGGCAAGGGTGGAATTTTTGCAAGAATCTCAGAGATTTCTTGGAGGGAGGGTTTTGTGCAGTTCCCAGCTGGGCTGTAGACATGACCAAGGACCTCTGATGATCCTTCCAGTGTGTGTCTGCAGGAAGATAAGGACAGAGCCAAGGGAGATTGAACTCTCAGGAGAGAGGGAGCTGGGATACGGTCGTACCCAACAAGTCCTAGACGGGAGGAGAAATGCCGAGCACGCTGTGATGTCTTGTGCTCAGATGTGTCCCCAGTCCAGTGTCCAAAGGGCTCATGCTCCAGGCCCCAGGGTGGTGGGTGGGGACTGTAAGTAGAAACAACAGAAGCCAAAGAAGAGAAATGCCTGTTTTTCACTAAGAAACCAGCGCATATGTTGCAGCAGTGTGAACGACCGACACCAAAGCGACGGGAGAGACACAGTTCCTTATTTCGAGATGAGTCCAGAGGCCCAAGTTCCTCTGGCTGCTGAGGCTGAGACGGAGGCGTCTGCCCAGGCCGCGTGGTCAGTGGGGGAGCGGCAGGTGGTGGGGATGGCTCAGCTGTGAGCACAGCAGGCTGTGGGTTCCCAGTCCCCTCAGCCCAGTCCTAAGAGGCAGCATTGGAGACGTCGGCAGAGGTCAGTAACAGCAGCTGTGCCGAGACAGGAAAAAAGGAAAAAAAAAAAAGAGAGAGAGTAAAAGATTTCCCCGCTTAGAAGATGAGTGAGCTAATTCTTAGCTACTTCCTAGGCCCTTCCAGGGACACTCCAAGATTATCGCCAAGGACTTAGCAAGAAGCTTGAGTTCCTCAATCACAGATAGAGGAAACAGTCTGGTGTGAATATCAGCGTGATTGTATTTTAAACAGAAGGCACGTGGTCTTGATACACATGGAATACGTTTGGGGCAGGATGATGGGCACTGGTTTGAGATTCAAATATGGTAAATTTCATCGAGTGATGGGTTAGGTGAACTCAAGGATAAACGTTAACAGTGGTCATCAGTAGGGTGATGCTGTAGACTAGAATGTTTATGACTCCCTAGAATTCATATGTTGAAACCTAATCCCCAATGTAATGAGATTAGTCCCTTAGAATAGAGGCCCTAGAGTGCTCCCTTGTCCCTCCCACCTTATTAGGACACCGTGAGAAGACAGCTGTCCGTGAAGGAAGTGGGCCCGCACCAGACACCAAATTCGCTGGTGCCTGTATCTTGGACTTCCCAGCCTCCAAAACTGTGAGAAATAAATGCTTGTCGTTCACAAGTCACCCAGCCTATGACATTTTGGAATTGTGTTCCTTCCAATCCCAGCTCCCAAAGGATCTAAATCCTGTTGCATGCACAGAAGATTCTTTATAAGATAAAGATTGAGCTTGTAACCTGAAGGACCAAAATCTACCTTGACAAGCCCTGTAAGGTCTAGAAGGCTGTACTTATAGTTTCTCAGAGCTGGTACAGAGCTATTACGGGGGAGTCAACGACAGCCAAGGGTGGTGACTCATAGGAGGGCAGCAGGCCTTGAACCTAGATTTTCCTGGAGGAAAGCAGTCTAGCTGGCAGAGTGTCTGCAGGGATGGTAACAGATGGAGATAAGCAGGTGGGTGCCTGGGGGTTGGGGTTGTCTGAAGTCTCCCGGAAGTAACAGGTATGTTATAATGATCAGGTGGAACCCGGAGATGATGGGAAATTCAGGAGCAGCTGAAGCTCAGAAGTCCGGAGGGGAAGGCTCGATGGACATCAGAGCTGTCAGTAGACAGCAGCCCACATGCCATCGCAGAGGACTCGGGAACAGGGGTCCAGACAACGGTAACAGGGACTCAGGCACATGGGACCAGACAGGGACAGGTCCTGAAGTTGCTGGAGGATAGAGGTCAGGGATACGGCAGATACTGGTCAAGGATGGACTGATAGCCATGGGGACTTAACTCCGGGACTCACTGGGCCAAGCCCTGGGGGCCGGACCCTGCTTTGTGGTCCTCTCTGGGCCTCTGGTCGACCAAGCCTTGGCCTGTCACATCCGATACTTCTACCCTGAATGCTCTGTGCAGGTATCTCCCTCTGCCGTATCCTCGACAAGCTGCATGTGACCAAATCCATAGTTTCAGAGCCCCTGGCCTGCCCAACCATAACTTATTGAAGCCCAGTTAGAGGTTTATCTTGGGCCTTTCCCATGCAGTCACTTTTCCATTCATGACTGTAGGTAACCACATCACATCATGACTCTGCAAAGCTTGCGCTCAGCTCTTTCTTTGGCAGATCGGTGCTGAGGTCACCCTGAGGCCTTCCACTCCACCCGCGTGTGCTGTTCAGCCCACCCCACCCCGGTCCTGTCCTATTTACTCCAAACTCCAGCACGACCTTCGGTGGACATCTGTGTCTGTATTTCCAGTACTCTTTCCTTGTTTATCCCGGCATCTAAGGTGAGGGGACCAGGGATGTTCTGTGTGCTGTGGGGGAGGCTCACTTTCTGTCCTTCCCAGCTATAAGGATGGACAGTTAAAGGACCAGTGCAAAGAGGCCAGGTCCCTTATTCATTTGTAACAGAGAGAAATACCTGGGGGTTCCCACAAAGGGGTTTAGAGCAGTTCCAAAGAGAGGTCTGGGAGGCCTCGTTCATACGCTTGGATCCCAGGGATTTTCATGGTGCCGGCTGGCCCAGAATAGGCCTCCTTAGAACTCACCATCAATTTGCAGGTGACAGAGATGTGACCTCAGACCCGAAAGCTTAAGTCTGTGCTGTGGCTAGTGCCTTTTTGTTATTTATTTATTTACGGCCCAAATTCTGAAGGGATTCGTCAAAGGCCACCCTAAAGAGAGGCCCTTGGAAATGAGACATTCTAGGAGAGACACGTCCTCCATTGCACCACGTTGGTGTGTGATGGCGTGGACGGCACATGGATGGGAACCCAGTAACTCGAGAGAGGACAGTGCAGGCAGGGAGGGCTCATCTGCTAGACCAGGGAGGCAAGAAACTTTATTGTTCTAATCCAGAGGGAGAAAGTGTATCCCGTTTTTAGATTACAGAGCTAGATCTTGGGTCAAAAAGTAGAAGGTGGATGTCTGAAATGAACTGCTTCCCATCGGCAGAGGTGGGCTGGGTCCCTGAGCTCTGGGTTCAGGTCAGCGGTCCCATCCAGGCAGGTCCGCTCTCCACGTGGCCGACCTGGAGGTTCAGAGCCCAGGGAGCTCCCCATAGATGGAGAGTCTCAGGAAGGACAGAATTTGGACTTGGAAACAGGAATTGGGGTCAATAGCCAGTGCAGTACCTTTAAGAAGAAAGAGAAGCATTTTATTTAAAAGATCACTTAATCGCTCTAAGACCCCTAAGTAGAGTGGATATATTATGAGTTGCACCTAAGTTAGATGTGATGTTCAAGACAACTTGACTAGCCAGAGACTTGGGACCAAAATGGAAGATCTCATCGGTGCTGCACTAACCGGTTCCGTATGCCTTTTCCTATTTCTTTTATTGCTCTTTAAGCACCCTTTTTAACCCCCCAGCTTCTCAAGCTCTCTGTGTTTTCCTGCTGGAAGTTCCTGTTATGAAGAAGCCTTGTTCAATGGGTTAGTTTATGCTAAGATGTAAGTGACAGGCAACAGCTTAATGGGAAGTGGTTACTGACTCTATCTGGAGCAGCAGGCAGATTTTGCAGTCTTATCTGGTAGCTTTCCAATCCCGTCACCATTGATCCCCCAGCCATATCCCCAGCAGGGATGCTAGCCACTGAGCCGTTCCTTTCCCAGCATGTGGTCTATAACTATCAGGGTCCTGCCTTCCGGCATCTGGACAGCCAGAGAAAGAGGAGGACTGAGAACCCCAAAGAAGTGGGCCTCCTATGGGGGATGCCCGACACAGTGCTGCTTGGGCAGGGGGAGGGGAGGAGAGGATGAAACTTTGGGTCAGGTGAGAGTATCACCAGCTGTCAAATCCCGTTGGTGAAATGACTGTCCTCAACCTTCTGGTAAAGCCAAGTTAACTCTGCTGCCTGTTCTCAGTGATCCCTGGTATCAGGAAATCTTCGCTGCCACCGGGGGGAAATGCATTTCAGGGCTCATTATTTTTATACCCAGTAGCAAAGAAAACTGTCATTAGAATTTGCTAAGCACCTAAAAATCATACTGCACCATTTGCCTCAACCATGGTCTTGAGTTTCTAGTTAAGTTATTAACACACCTTCTTTTTGCTCTTGGACAAAGTAGGTGGGGACCTGTCGGCACACGTCCTTGATGGGCACTCCGTACTGGGCTAAGTCCTTGATCCGGCTGGGTAAAACAGTGTAGGTCAGGCCTCGAGTGGATGGATAATGCTTTAAAGCCTGGAAGAGGTGACATTTCAAAACGGTGAGACAGCAGATAGAGGTGGTGCAGCAAGGAAGAAGAGCGAGAAACCTATTCCAGTGCGCAAAAATAGCCGTGAACTTGCCCTTGAGTTTTGTCTATAGCAGCAATACCCTGTCTGACCACAAGGTGATGACATTACTCCAAAAAAATCTGTGTGTGAGCCTGTGTGTCCCTGTAACGCTGTACTCCTTTCACCCTTAAATTCTCAACTCTTCCAGCCTCCAGTGCTTTTCTCATCTCTAAAATTATGTGTTTCATTTATATCATGCATTTACTTGTTATAAATCAGATGATGGGAATACTTTCTACCTCTCTTTAAAAAAATTGACAAATTGTTTTATTTATTTTTATTTTATTTATTTATTTTTTTTTGCGGTACGCAGGCCTCTCACTGTTGTGGCCTCTCCCGTTGCGGAGCACAGGCTTCGGACTTGCAGGCTCAGCGGCCGTGGCTCACGGGCCCAGCCGCTCCGCGGCACGTGGGATCTTCCCGGACCGGGGCACGATCCCGCGTCCCCTGCATCGGCAGGCGGACTCTCAACCACTGCGCCACCAGGGAAGCCCCTGTTTTATTTTTATGTGACCCAAAATGCATTTTTTTCCCCAAGAATCAGCATTCATTTTGCCCAAATGTCCTGGACGGGTTATTTAAGCAAATGGTGCCAGGTTTCTATGATTTGCCAAGGACCTCCTGCTGCTTTTGAATTTATTTGACAGCCCTTGTCATTTAAGAGGCTGGGAGGGAGAGAGTTTCAGCAGTCTGGGTTCATTTTAAACTAAAGATAACACGTGTGTATGTGTGCAAAGGGTGTGCAGGGGAGGAGAGAAGGCATGAGGGTAAAAATACTCTATTAGTTCACTCTAATATTTATATTCAACGACTTATATCCACTAACATGTAGCTCACACCCCTTTTGGAATAAACTAAAATTATGTCATTGTATGGAGTTTTCATTGGTCCATTTTCATTCATATGATGTAATTTAAATGGGCCATGGACTGAACTTGGAGTCCTTTGCACGGTGATAGAATTTCATGCGCATGAAGAACAAGTATGAACTGAATTCCCCTCTGTATACAGCACCATCCTAGGAGGTCAGGATGTAGAGTTGGAAAATACCAAACTAGGAGGGGACCACAGTGAACTGGTTTCACTTACCTGGTGGTCCAGGGCCTTACTAACATCGTCCAAAGTTGGACAGCTTCATCCATCTTGGCTAGGACACAGGCCATCTTGCTAAACAGCTTAGCCACCAGAAGGGCCTTAAAGCAACACAGCAGAACACTGTCATCCATTCAGTCACAATATAGTGGCCTCCTGCTTGCCATCAGTGCTGCACATAGCTGGTCCTTCAGACTGTGGCATTGAGCATCCCGGCATAGCGCGGCCCTGGGCAGCAGAGCAAAGCGCTAGCAGCAGGACTGACAGTGCACACAGGGCCCTGCTGCCCCCGAGGGGCCGTGGCACTGTCGCTGCTGCAGGCACCATGGGAAGGTATCCCCCGGGGCACTCTGCATACCCTTAACAGACTAGTGGGACTGGATGGGTAGGGCGTCAGCCCCAGAAACAAAGCTAAATATAAGGTTCTGTTCATGGCCCTCAGCCGCCTCCATGACCCTCAGCTTCCCCATCTGTAAAGCAGGAAAACAGACGCTCTCCCACAGGGATGCCATGAAAGGATGAGACAAGATACTGCCTGCTTGTGAAGCCAGTGTGTGAGATAGAGTGCTCTCTGGAGGTACAGGGTGAGGAGAGGCCTCGGTCCAGACCTCTAGACTCAGATCCTGGCTCTGGGTCTGCCACTGACCACCTCTTACGTGGCCCTGGACCTGACCTTCAGCCTCTCTGAGTTTTGCAGTAAAGCCGAGGTTCTCCAGCTGAGTCTGACTGAGCCCACCTCCCTCCTCCAGTTCTGACTTCCATTCCATAGAGTGGCATTTTGTGACATCTTTCGTTGGAAGAAAAGTCTCTATGGCTTAAAACAGAGTTGGAAATCCCTGGACTGCCTCCCTTTAAGGAGGACTAGGGAACCGTGTCCTCAAGGAAATCAGGAGCAGATCAGGTGAAGAGTGAGGGGCATGGTGTTTGGGAAGGAGAGCATGGGAGGTCCAGGCAGGCGCAGAGAGAAAGCCTGTGTTTGCGGGGTGTGTCCTGAGATGTCCAGTGTGCAAGTAGGAGGGGAGCTTCCAAACAGCAGGGGCTGGACAGCAGAAGCCCATCCAGGGAGTAAGGAGTGTGGGCTTTTCCTTCATTTAATCCTCTCAGAGTCCTTTCCAGTAGGAAAGACAGCTGTTGATTCTGCTTGACAAATGAGGAAACCGAGGTACACAAAGGCTGAGCCATATCTCTGGTTATAGAGCTTTACTATCAGGGAGGTGTCCCTCCCCAATCCTGCCTCTTTCTGCCAGGTCCTACCTCACCGTACCCAACCATCTGGGCAAGTGGAAGCGAGGTTTCTAAAAGTGAAAATAAATTACTCTCCTGCTTTTGAAATAAACTGATTAAAATCTGAGATCAAGACAAAAGACCTCCATAGCACATACCAGTTATAAGAAATCTGGGTTCTGGAAATGGCTCTCTTATTTCAGAGGCCTTCAGGAGCCCTGTGAAGTCAACACAGGAGACGAACACAAAAGGATGTGGGATCCCTAGAGATCACAGAAGTTCCCACTGCGGTCACTGGCTCAAAAAGAAGTCACTGCAGATGCAAGAAAGCTGGTCCCTTGTCTAAAGAGATGTATTCCCTCAAGATCCTAAACCCAGAGAATGTCTATGTAGACAGGGTCCTCTTCTCTCTGGAAAAGCACAAGGCAAAATGCTGGAGCAGGCAAGGCTTTCTTCGGCATTTATAATGAACGTGTTCCACATCTTACATTCTCGTAGTCCAAGATACAGAGATACAGAGATATGGGTGGGAAGGAAAGAAGAGTCAAGATGACTCCAATAGCACTGACCTTAGTGGAGAGAAGGATGGCGGCTCCATTCACTGAGATGGAGCCTGTGGGCAGCAGGTGGGCGGGGGTGGAGATCAGTTCTGAACGTGTTGACTTTCAGATGATTAGGCATCAAGTAGAGAATTGGATGCGTGAGTCTGGGGTCGAGAGAGAGAGTTGGGCTGGACATACACACCTGGGAATGTTTAGAGCCGAGACTGTATTCAAAGCCATCACATGGTGGGTGAAATCACTAAGTGAGCTAAGTGTAGACAGAAAAGAGGAAAGGTCCAAGGACTAAGGTCTAGGACCATCCACATTTCGAGGCTGGGGAAGTGAAAGGGAGAAGGCTGGCCAGAATGATGGAAACGAACAGGCAAACGTGTGTGTCCCGGAGGCTCACTGAGGGCCACAACGGTGTCAAATGCTGCTGTTTTCTCAGATAAGAGGTCTGAGAAATGACCTTCGCATTTAGCGTTGTAACAGTCATTAGATTCGTTAAGGGCAGTTTCAGTAGTGTCTTTGGGCTAAGCCTGATCTCCAGAACATCAGTGACAGCCGTCCACTGGATGGATCTGCTGGGACCCAGGCATCCATTGTCCATGCCTTTCGAGGTATGGTCAACATCCCAGTCAACAATGCTTTGATTGAATGGGATGGAAGCTTGGACTACGAGAATATAAGATGTGGAACACGTTCATTATAAATGCCAAAGAAAGCCTTGCCTGCTCCAACATTTTGCCTTGTGCTTTTCCAGAGAGAAGAGGACCCTGTCTACATAGACATTCTCTGGGTTTAGGATCTTGAGGGAATACATCTCTTTAGACAAGGGACCAGCTTTCTTGCATCTGCAGTGACTTCTTTTTGAACCAGTGACCGCAGTAGGAACTTCTGTGATCTCTAGGGATCCCACATCCTTTTGTGCTCGTCTCCTGCGTTGACTTCACAGGGCTCCTGAAGGCCTCTGAAATAAGAGAGCCATTTCCAGAACCCAGATTTCTTATAACTGGTATGTGCTATGGAGGTCTTTTGTCTTGATCTCAGATTTTAATCAGTTTATTTCAAATCTTTTCAGCTGTACCTTCAAAATATATACAGAATTAAATAACTTCTCATCAACTCTGCTACTACTACCCTCGTTTAATCCGCCCCCCCGGAATCTTTTGAAAGCCTCCTAACAAGTGTTTGTCAGAGCACGCTGGTTAAATCCCAAGGCAGACCAAACCCAGCTGTAGCTTCCTAGCTCATGCAGTATAAAAGCCACATGAGTTACCGAGACCTACTGGGTCCCACAGGGTCAGACCCCTGTTACCTCTCTGCCTTCACTTGCAACTCGTGTTCCTCTCACCTGTCAGCTCCTGCTACTCTGGCTTCTTCACTGTTCTTTGCTCAGGGCCTTTGCACGTTTTGTTCCATCTGTCTGGAACGTTTACTCCCAGGAATCTGAGTTTTGCTTCTTCATCCTTTTTTTTAAACATCTTTATTGGAGTATAATTGCTTTACAATGGTGTGTTAGCTTCTTCTTTATAACAAAGTGAATCAGTTATACATATACATATGTTCTCATATCTCTTCCCTCTTGCGTCTCCCTCCCACCCTCCTTACCCCACCCCTCTAGGTGGTCACAAAGCACCGAGCTGATCTCCCTGTGCTATGCAGCTGCTTCCCACTAGCTATCTATTTTACATTTGGTAGTGTGTATATGTCCATGCCACTCTCTCACTTCGTCCCAGCTTACCCTTCCCCCTCCCCGTATCCTCAAGTCCATTCTCTAGTAGGTCTGGCAGGATGGGAATAAAGACACTTCCTCATCTTTTGTGATCAAGATGTAACCTCCCTGGGAGCCCTGTCTAAGACTGAGGATGCCACCCCTGACATTCTCTTTCCCCTCTTGCTTTCTTTTTCTCTGTCACACTGATCAGTCTATACAGTTTGCCTCTAAAACTCATACCGTTTCTTCCTGTAGGATGTAAGCACTCTGAAGTTAGGGACTTCTCTCTGCTTTGTTTACTGCTGTATCCCCAGCCCATGAACCAATAGCACCTAGGTCCTCAACCAATGACGGTGAGTGAAGCAGTAAATAATTTCCGTAAGTGCCCTCAACCAAAAAGAGTGTCACGAGAGACAATAGCAATGAGGACCCAATTCAGATGCCGGGGGAGTAGTTGGGGAAGGGTCAGGCCTTTCTGAGAAGTGACTTTTGGGCTAAGACCTTCCAGAAGCCTGGGTGTGGCCAGTTAGATGTGTGGGGTTGGGTGGGGAAGCAGCCTGATCCACGGTTTGGGTTTGCTGGGGACCAAGAGGTTTCTTGAGTGCCAGAGCAAAGCGCCTGGCGAACCAGGCTGCGTGGGTCACTCTGCAGGAGGGTGTCCCCAGCGGAGGCTGGGAAAAGTGCCAAGGCTTGGCGGGAAAGGTGGGGGGTGCAGGGGGGGCGGCCGTGGAGGCTGGGCCTGGGTGATTTTCTATTGTCTGTGTGATGGGAGCCACCAGAGGGTCTTTAAAAAACCTCTTCTAGCTCTCTGCGGAGAACGGATTGGAGGCCAGTAGGAGTGAACGTGGAGACGTGTTATCTCCCAGTAATAAGGGTTCTGAAAGCGGGCCTGGGTTTTATGAGCTTCATTTCAGATTCATTCCAGGCCCTTGGGGTGAGGGTGAGGCTCCAGGCTTGAGTTATTGCTACCTTGTCTCTTGGGGTTGGACAGAGCGGGCAGGTTGGGAGCTGCCTAATTTCAGTTCATATAGGCACTTACTGTGAATTGCTAAGTGGGTGAGATCGGAGTGGTTTCTTGATAAAGAGAGAGCTTGTCAAGGGGGATTTCAGAGCCATTTTCCCCATCAAATCAATAGAGGTGTTAATCCTCCATCTAGATAACAGAATAATGTAGTTGCAGACATTGGCTTTAAACCCCACTGCAGATGAACCAACTGTCAAGGACCTCGGCTGCCGGCAGACAGGCCTGGATGATGAAGAATGCCAGACATGCAGGGCTGGGACTGTGGACCGTGGACGTTCCAGGCCTGACTCCCCTCCGTGGGCACAGGGGAGGGGCCCACGAGCTTCTGGATGGCCTGATGCTTTATTGCCTGCCGGCATCATACCCAGTGGCAGGAAGAAACCCATCCGGTGCCAGACTGTAGGGTGGGGTTTCCTGGCCCCAGCCTCTTTAAGGCAAAAACTATGATTTAGGGAAAGAGATTGGCAGACAGACAAGCATCATAACAGTTTTGTCCTACATGGACATAGAGGACAGACTGGTGGTTGCCAGTGGGGAGAGGGTTGGGAGAGGGATGGAGTGGGAGTTTGGGGTTAGCAGATGTAAGCTTTTATATATAGAATGGATAAACAACAAGGTGCTACTGTAAAAAAATAAAATAAATCTTTAAACAGGATGAGAACATTACTAAGCATCTTGAAGATAAAGTTCACCCCAATACTCTCACAAAGTTATGATTATTCTTGAATAATTTCTCCTGGTATTTTCCCATGGGAATTTATTAATATAACTTCCATAAATAAATGTGGTGTTCTGCTTTTTTTATAACGATATATTTCAGTTAATCATTTAAAGACCTTTAAAAAGCAGGGGGAAGCAGAGGATATACAAATACAAAATCCAAAAGGGTTTTTTTCTAATTATATGCATAATGTTGCAATGAATGTCTTGGTGTGAAAACATTTTTATTCTTTTGTATTATTTCTATAAGATAAACTCCCAGAAGTAGATTGAAATTGAAACACATTATGTGTTTGAAACACATTATGATTCATGATACACCATGCCCAAATGCTTTTCAAAGTATTGTGTTTATTTGCACTTTCACCCATAATGTATGCATATACAAATTTTATGTCAATAAACATTATTCTTTTTTAAAAGTTTTAATGGTTTAAGTATGACATCAAATGTTATTTTTGTTTTAGTTGTATCTCCTTGATTATAGATGAGATGACTGAATATTTTTCCATGACATTTTCTTTCTTCTTTCTTTTCTTAACTAGTTCCTTGCTATTTGTAATTCCTGTGTGAGCCTCAGTTTCCTCTTCTGTAAAATGGGTATGTTAGCAGTATTACCTTATAGGATTGTTGTAAGGGTTAATTAGCCAGAGCAGTGTTGGATAGTGGTCATAGGCTTAGCTTGGATGTCATCTAGATTATCTGGCTTTGGATGCCAGCTCTGATATTTGAAAGCTGATGGAGGTGGGGATCGGCAAGTTCACATTACCAAGAGCAGGAGGGATGGGACATATCGTTGTGGCCATCTTTGGAAAATACCATCTATCACGTTAGTCAGTTTCTTCCTTAAATAAGTCTCTAATTACACAAATAATGCATCCTTTTAAAACATGAAAGTTAAGGCTAGCGTCCCTTTTGACCAGTACCTCAATTCCCATCTCCTCTCCAAAGGTGACTACCGTATTTTGTTTGGTGAACATCTGGTGGGACATTTTGCTTGTGCGTACCTACACGCACATACACACATGCCCACCGGCATCCACAGAAAATCTGTAGCGTTTCTAATGGTTCACATGAATAGTATCGTACTATACGTATTTCATTTCAATGTGATTTTTCATTCAACACATCTGGAGATTGTACTATGTCATGCGCTAAGATCTCCCTCATCCTTTTCCATTTGTGCACAATATAGATATAACATAGTTTATTGAATAATTACACTATTCACCAACACAAAATGAGTGTCCTTTTCCCAGACTCTCTCTGACAGTTAAATGTTTTCAATTTTTGCAGTCGAATTGGTGAAAATGACATGATAGTTGTTTTACTTTGCATTTCTTGGATTATTAAGTGAATATTTTCGTAAGTTTATTGGCCATTTGCTTTTCTTTTGACTTGCTTATTTTTATACTTTGCTCCTGTTCTGAGTCATTTAAAAATTCATTTGTGGGATTTCTTTATATAATATTCATTTGTTGCAAAATTCTTCTCTCATACTTTCACTTATTTAACTTTGTTTACACTCTTTTGATGAACAGAATTTTTAGAATGTTGATGTAATCAATTTTATCAATCACTTAGGCTATGGTTTTGTTTTGTGTGTTTTAAAATTTTTTGAAGTCTTTGTTACTCCCCAGATATTTTCCTTTAATACTATATAATTGTGTTTTGTAAGTTTAGCTCTACAATTCGTTTAGGAGTAAGTTTTATGACAGTGTCACTTAGGTCTTAATGGGCAGTCAGTTGTCCTAATCCCATTTATTGAATTCTTCCCCCTTTTATTTAAAGTAGCATCTTTATTGTATGCTAAATTCCCATATATTCAGAGATCTTTCTGGATTTTCCATTGTGCTACCCTGATCCATCTACTTACTCTTGTGACAATATCCCAGTTTGTATAACTATAGCTTTCTAACATGTTTTTCTTCCCCCCCTTTTTTTTTTTTTCCCGGTATGCGGGCCTCTCACTGTTGTGGCCTCTCCCGTTGCGGAGCACAGGCTCCGGACGCGCAGGCTCAGCGGCCATGGCTCACAGGCCCAGCTGCTCCGCGGCTTGTGGGATCTTCCCGGACCGGGGAACGAACCCGTGCCCCCTGCATCGGCAGGCGGACTCTCAACCACTGTGCCACCAGGGAAGCCCTCCCCCTCTTTATTCTTATTTTTCAAATCTGTCTTGACTATTCTTACCAATTCAGTCTTCCATAGGAATTTAGAATCAACTTATTAGGAGCTTTTGATTGGCAATGCGTTGAATTTATTAACTAACTTGGGAAGACTTAACAAATACTTTTCTATTTGTAAACTTGTCATTTTTTCCCTTCTTGCTTAGCATCCCTAACTGTATCATGCAATTCGAAAAGTAGCCACAGGGCGGCGGTAGGAGCAAAGAAGGTGAAACTCGGGTCCCTCATGAGAGACCTGGGAAGCCAGGAAGCCCTTGAGAGAGGAGAATGCTTGTGGCAGAGTGAGACGGCAATTATCTGCATGCAACACCTTACACTTATTTATTTTGCACAGTTTACAAATATTTCATTTACATTATTTCCCTTGGAATAGGTGATGAAGGTGATCTTTCCCCATTTTAGAGGTGAACGAATGAAACATGAAGACATGCAGCTAGTCTGGGAGGATGCAGTGCCCACACCCTCCGTGCCAAGCCCAGGGCTCTTTCCGCTTCATCCTCGTGCAGATTTCAGACTTCTCCACACTAGACAAAAGGAAAACAAAATTAGTGAAAGCTAAAATTCAAAGCGACAGCAGGAAAATGTGTGCAGGTCCGTCATCCCTATGTTCAAAATCTTAGTGTCACTTCTGTGTGTCTCCCTCTCCTTTCCCTAATTTAGGTGTTCCCTAAAGCTCTGAATTTTTCCTTTGTGACATATCTCACATCTGCCTTTTCTCTCCTCCCAACATCATCATCTTCACCTCACTTCTGATGGCATCCATGACTCCAGGCTTCTCCTCCAACTCATCTGCTTCACCAAGGTAACACTTTTTGTCAGTCAGAGATGGGGAAACTGGGACAAAGAAGGTTATCGTTTCAAGGATGGGATGACTGGGGTTGAATGGGAAGTTGGTGGGGCTTTCAAAGCAGGTGGGACCTTCCAAGAACATTTGGGTGGGTCGATGTTCAAGGTGCTGAGGGCGTGGGAAGCTTTGACGTGGTCAGGTGGTTGTCGCTATCTGATTACCTGGTAGGGCTCGGGGAGAGAAGATGCAACAGGAAGCAGGTGAGGGGCTGTTCAAAGATAGGCAGGCAGGGACCTTGTGGTTTTCCCGGAGATCAGTTCATGCCTCGTGGGTCAGCAGGACCACAGTCACACTCAACCATGACCCAGACTTTGGAATCCCTTGTGCTCTAGGCCATGCTAATTCCGGCAGCCTTGAGCCAGTTGCTTCAAGGTTCTGGTGACTCAGGGATCTGGTGACTGAGCCCTTGTCCTATTCCTCAGGATTGGGGCTTTATTTTATATCCGGACCCAATAATGGTCTTGTACCTGAGCAGCGGACTTGGCTGTGAGCTCAGCTCCCCAGTTTTTTCAGCTCCAGGGTCCTGCCTCGGGTCCTGAGGGCCCGGTCCTAACCCAGCCCCACAGGTCTCCCTGACCCTGGACATCTGCCTCCCTGGAGCACCAACTCTTTTGGGCCCCAGACTCCCTGCCACCTGATTCTACTCCCAGGCCAGGGCGCCTCCCTCTGTGACCCTTACTCCCTTCCTGGAACTTCCCAACCTGCACACCTGCCCCGACCCACTGGGCTCTGCCTGCCTCACAGCATTCCCCGCATCTGCTGCGGCCCCGCCCGTGGCACCTTTCTCGGTTCTACTGTCACCCACAAGGAGCCTCTTGAGATGCCTCCAAGGCCAAGGGCATGTAGTCCATTGACCCCAGGCAATGGGCAGAGCAGGCAGTCATGCTGGGCGAAGCACCAGGCAGCACCGGGCAGCACGGGGCAACCCCTCACCACTTATCACCGAGAGGCAGCTGAAAAAGAGCACCCTCTGGGACCTGTTTTCCAAGAAGTCCCCCTGAGTCACGGTGGAAATGTGACCCCAGGCCACGCCTCTCAGCACCGGCTGCTTCTACTTCCTACAGCTTTAAGAAGAGAAGTCAGAAACCCCAGTTTTGCCTTATAATGCAAATTGGGGCAACTCTTTGGGAAGGCGGGGCTGTGACTCAGGGAAGCCTGCAGGGGGGCCTGAGAGAAGGGTTCTGTGCAAGTGTAGTACAGATGTTCACACACACACACACACACACACACACACACACACACACGCACACGCACACACACACGAGCTGTGCTCTGGTCTGGGAAAAGGATAGGATTCCTTCACCCACCACACACATGCAAGCCTCATAGCTCCTCTGTGTTTTGTGAATTCTTTTCCTCTAAATTCACAAAATCTGGATTCATTATTGCAGGTATGGGCATGGGGAGGGGAGGTGTTTATTCCCACCATCTAAAGAAGCAGATCTACAGGAACTGTGCCTCTGAAAGGAGAACATCAGCTCGAAGGGCCCAGCACAGGGCAGGGGCAGGAAAAAGATGGAAGCGTTAGCCAGTCCAGTGAACAGAATCAGAAACTGTGTTAGATTTTTAAAAAATTTCACTAGACAGCAAACATTTTTAAAGCAACCATTCCACAACCTTAAAAAAAAAAACATTTTATTTGAAGAGTCATAAAAGCAAAAGCATCCTCACTCCATCCTTCCTTAATCCCACCCTACACCCCAAGTGGATGGTGGTAGATTCCTACGTAAGTGGAATAAAATAAGGAGAATTGGCAAAAGACACTTTCCCCTCTCTTTTGGGCTCCAGTTGACCCTGTGGCCTGGCAACAGGGGATGCTGGGTAATTTGTTGAGTGAATTGGGGAGTGGTCTGGCCCCTGGAGAAGGACAAGGAGGTTTGAACTATTAGGGCAGGTTGAGGAGGACCAAGAAACACTTGATCCAATTGTTTCTCTTGGGTCAAGTCACCTCCCTGTGCAGCCACTGCTCATTTAACCCCTGTATGTGGCTGATGGAGATGTTTGGTGGCTGTGGTCCGTATGCTTCCACCCGTGTTCCTACTCAAAGATCAAGGACCACCCCAAGCCCCCCGGACGACAGCTGCAAGCCTTGCCCCTCTCTAAGCCCCTGAGATTCCTTCACATCGTGTCTCATTTCCAACTTAGCCACCCAACACTCAATACTGTTCTGTACCCATCCTCAAAACCTTTTTTTTTTTGGCCACACAGCAAGGCATGTGGGATCTTAGTTCCCCGACCAGGGATCGAACCCGTGCACCTTGCAGTGGAAACGTGGAGTCTTAACCCCTGGACCGCCAGGGAAGTCCCTGTCCTTACAAAGAGAAGGCCCGTCCTACGTCCTTACCCAAGCTCCAACTATAATGCCATCTTGTTAACGAGCTATTTCTCTGCCTCTTTCTTCCACACCCAGGACCCCCAAGTTACCTGATATCCAACCATTTTCCCTGGTTAGTGTCCTGGTTTTGGAAAGTGCTGTTCAAGGCCCTTCACGATTACCTATCTACTGCCCATGACCTACAGACTAATTGCCAAGTACAGCAGTTCATAAAATATCAGATATACGCTCCTGGTAGGTCACCAGCTATTTACCTGTTACCATAGAAAGTGTCCACCTTCCTTATCAGAGCAGAACTGTTTGTGCTCACCCAGCCCGATCTCCCCTATTCTCACTGGAAGGAGGTAAAGGAGACTGTATTATTGTTTCAAATATGGGATGCCCCTCCCTGAGAGGGAGGAAAGCATTTTATCTCCCTGCCCCATGGACATCAGACTTGCCCACGTGACTTGTTTTTGCCAATGAATGTGAAGGGAAGTGGGATGTGTCACTTCCAGGCAGAAGTTTTAGGAGCCAACATCTGTGGCACCATATTCCCTTTCCTGCTGCCGCAAGCGACAGTGATATTCCAAGTAGAGGCTACTCTGTCTTCCTGGGTCCCAGAGTGAAAAAGACGGGTAGATTTGTAGCTGATATATAATGGACATGTACTGTTAGCAAGAAATACACCTTTGTTGTCGGAGTTTTGAGCTTTGGGGGTTGTTTATTGCTACAGCATGCCAGGTAGGTGGGAGCAGTAACCCCTCACCCTCACGTTTCCCGGGAGCGGAGGGCATTTCTTCCATTCTTCAGGAGGGAAACAATAGAGTAGAAACGTTTCCAGCTTTGCCCTATTCCTCCTCCCTCCCTCCTAGGGGAGGAGATGCACCTTATCTGATTGGTGACGGGGGAGAGGGAGCTGGCATGGGTAGCCCCCTCCTTCCAGGCTCCCTTCAGGATATGTCTGTCTGCAGACTTGTCATCTTCTGCATGTAGCTGTGTGGTAAACCCCTAGGGACAGACCCTGTGTGTTGGCGTGCAGCTGTCTGTGGGCAAACATCGAAACCAACCCACCTCTTACTGGTAATAAAGATGATTTTTTTTTTTTTTGGTACGCGGGCCTCTCACTGCTGTGGCCTCTCCCGTTGTGGAGCACAGGCTCCAGACGCGCAGGCTCAGCGGCCACGGCTCATGGGCCCAGCTGCTCCGCGGCATGTGGGATCTTCCCGGACTGGGGCACGAACCCGTGTCCCCTGCATGGGCAGGCGGACTCTTAACCACTGCGCCACCAGGGAAGGGCAGCCCTAAAGATGATATTTTGATCTCCGTATATCTGCTCCTAGTGAGTGCGTCTAACTCCCATATCTGAACCTGGAAATAATGGTGTTATATATTTGCTCCTTAAGACTCCAATACACAGCATCTATGTGGCCCAACTCCGTTCCTGCATCTTATCATATAACATCAGTGACATCCCCAGACCTGTTCCTGGGGGATCTTTGACCATCCAGAAATACTAGAGGGCAAGCCGAAGATGGTGTAAGGAAACTGTTACCGCTCTGACTGCAGCAGAGAAGAAGCTGCCCATGTAGGGCCAGAGGGCTGTTGCTCGAGATTCATTAAAACTCGGAAGTCATCATTTATCCAACTCCCCGTGCCATTTCTCAGCAAACTGCTTCTATAACCCCAAACAGGGACTCAATATATGGTTGAAGGGGTCCTGGACGGCACCTCTGGTCCACACCTCTTTGCCCAGGTCCATTCCCTCGGAAAATCCATTTGTCTTCTGCAACACTCAGCTCTGACCCTTGCCTCCCTCTGAAGAACTAACCAAGGAAGACTGGGGGGCAGCAGGAGTGATGGTAGCAATAGAACCTCCATGGCATCCTCAACCCCACGCTCCTAAAGCTAGTGGGTCAACCTGCTCCATCAGAAGAGGACGATGGCTTTCAATGGAGCATTAAGTATGTGTTTCATGTTGAAAAATGAGAATTAGAGAGGTTGTGGGCCTTGTTGAAGGCCACACAGCTACTGTCTCTGCGCCTCCTTTCAAACTAAACAGTCATAATAGTGACAGTTCATTGAAGGTTTCCTGTGGGCCAGTCCCATCCTGGCCTCTTGCCATGTAACATCTTATTTAATTCGCACATCAGGTATACGAGGTGAGTCTTATTACTATTAATTTAAAGATGATGGAACTGAGACTCAGATAATTTTTGTAACTTGCCCCAAATCTGATTCCATAATTGACTCTATTACCTATTCTCTTCAGTTATATTATAAAAGTTAGTATTGTAAAACTCAGAAATTCAGTCTGAGAGCTATTCTGTATCTTGCAGGAGGGAATTCAGATCCTACAGATCCAAAAGGAGATGCGACGGTTCCACTATTTTTTGTTGTTGAAGTATAGTTGGTTTACAATGTTGTGGTAGTTTCTGGTGTATAGCAAAGTGACTCAGTTATACATATATATACACATTCTTTTTCATATTCTTTTCCATTATGGTTTATTACAAGATATTGAATATAGTTTCCTGTGCTATGCAGTAGGACCTCAGTGTTTGTATCTGCTAATCCCAAATTCCTAATTTATCCCTTCCCTGCTTTCCCCTTTGGTAACCATAAGTTTTTTTTTTTATGTCTGTGAGTCTGTTTCTATTGCATAAATATGTTCATTTGTACTATTTTTTAGATTCCACATAGAAGTGATATCATATAATATTTATCTTTGTCTGACTTACTTAGTATGATAATCTCTAGGTCCATCCAT